CTACGCCATCTCGAGTCAATTGCACGTTGTGTTGACATGCTGTCTATCCGATCTGCATTGCAAGTTGTGGTGCGAATATCTATCAATTATTGATTGGTCCAGACAATTGTCTCACACATTTCTAGGTTACTTTTACCTATAAAAACCCTTGTTTTGACCTCTAAAAAAAGGGAAAGAGCAGCACATTCTCTAGAAACCCTAAATTCCTCATCCAACCAAGTCCTAGCCTTTAGGAAGCCCCAACCAGTAGCCTTTGTAACCTTAGTTTCCAGTAGAAATGTCAGGCTATTTCAAAGACGGAAACCTTGACCTTTTCATCACCTAAGGCATCAAATCCTTTGAGATTCTAGATTCCTCTACAGGCTTTTCACTTAAAGATCAAATTTTTCAGTCATTCATTTCATCAAAAGGAGTTTATTTAGTTAATCTAAGTTTTCAGGCCAAGAGGTCCTAACCGGCTTGTAAGTTTTATTACTTTGCATTTATTTTGACTTTTAGTCTCATTTTATCATTTCATTTAGTATTATTCCATTTATTTTATGCTTATATTGATGGAATTTACAAGCCGGCCCTACCTATAATCCAAAGAGGATTGGTTTTAATGAATCGTTGGGTTTTCACATGTCAAACAGCAAATACATTGTGTTTGCTGGTTTACGGGGTAATAGCTATTTTCATGTTTGCTTCTTTGTTGTAAGATATATATCTTGGCAATACTTGTTCTCAAATTCCTATTATCAAAGGATTATGATCATGTATTCTACATATATATCCACCCTTTTGGGATAATGAATACGGTATCAGAGCACATGACTGAACTGCATCAATGATAGGTTGCGGTAAAGAAGCTAGAGGATTACTGTCAATGCAAACTGGGCTGAAATTGAGAAGATAGAAAGAATACAGTAACGTGAGGATCTTGATGTGCTCTGATACCGTATTCATTATCCCAAGAGGGTGGATATATATGTAGAATACATGATCATAATCCTTTGATAATAGGAATTTGAGAACAAGTATTGCCAAGATACATATCTTACAACAAGGAAGCAAACATGAAAATAGCTATGACCCCGTAAACCAGCAAACACAATGTATTTACGGTTTGACATGTGAAAACCCAACGATTCATTACCAGCATTTTCTATGCTCAAGACAGTGATAGAATTATGAAGCAAATTCCTTAGTACAATACACCCAAGGTGATGAAGAATTTGCAACAAAGATGGATGGACATCAACAAGCCAAATTACTTCTTTCTTCTTGTTTTGATTTGAATTAGCTGGAAGTATTTAAGATCATCAAAACCATTTTCTACATGCTTGATCAACATGTTCATATCACCCCAAGGAATATAAAAATGGGCAGAGCAAAACCAATCTAACCTTTCCATTGGACGAATCTATAAGGCATTTGTAACATGAAATACTAATGTGAATCTCACATTCAAATAAATGAAAAGAGAAACACCCTAAAATGAAGCTTGAGAAGAGATATCATCCATAATGAAGTTTATAGAGAGAGAGAAAAAGCAACAGGTGCAAGTACACGATGAGCTATGACTGCTCTTCTCGTTTCATTCTTTCTTTCCGAACAAGGTAACCAATTGCCGCATTCCCCATTTCTGGATGAGACGCTATATGATAGGGGTGGCAAAGGGTAGGGTCGGGCTGGACCCGGACCCAGACCTGATCTAGTCTAGAGTCCCTAGACACAAAAATATAATGTGGAACTGGATTCGGACCGACCCAAAAATTAAAATATCAATACTTTAAATATATTTAGGTATATTTTATAAATATGTTAAATAGGCCATCTGTGACCGAACTTACTCTCACGGATGTCCGATAGTGTTTGAATTTTAATTTTTTTTCTACAAATCTAAATCAATTGAAATTTTAGGTGTTTGTTCTTCTCATCAAGGCGCACCTAATAAAAATATAAAAAAAAATTTACAAAAAAAATTGGCCAAAATACCCCCTAAAACGTTTCAATAGTATTTTGGTCAAGTTATTTCGTGTAAATTATTTTTTTGATATTTTTCATAGGTTCACCTATTTTTGAAGAACAAAAGTCTAAAATTTCAAGTGATTTAGATTTGTAGAAATAAAATTAAAATTTAAATACTATCAAACATCCGTGATCGTCAGGTCGGCCCAGATTCAATTTGGGTCGTGGGTGTTTACTGTAGTAGTACACACCTGAACGCACAACATCTTTTCCCATATATATATATATGGGATTGTATACAATAAGAAGGTCACAATTGTTTATAACCATCCTATTTGAAATTTGATAGCTTGAGTGTGTTACAAAATTCAAGACATTTGTTTTTGAACTTTGTGCTTGGTCAATAGAATAAATGTAACCATCCAATTTCACATCCAAAGGCTAAGATTAATTGTGACCACATTGTACAAAAGGTAAATGGTCTCATTATGTACTTTTCCTTTAGATATTATTACTATAATTATATAGTTATATTTGTTTAGAGTAATGATCCTATGAGACCCTCCCACATCAATGTGTGTTGGACCCCAAAGGATCACCATTAAATTTGGCATAGATTTCTAAAAAAGTCAAGTTCCACATCTATCTAACAACTTTTCTAAATATCCGTGCCAACTTTAATGGTGATTTTTTGAGGTCCTATACACAAGGGTGGGGGAGGATCCTATAGGATCATTACTCATTTGTTTAAATATTATTTAGATATCATATATTAAATATTATTTAAATATCATACTATTCAGGTCGGGTAGGGTTTACATGGACCCGAACCCAACCCGTTGGGTTCGAATTTTGGACTCATATCTAGAGCCGGGTCAATTCTACCCCTGGGTGGGGTCCTAGACCATTGCCACCCCTACGCTATAATTTAATGAACGACGGATAGAGCGAAGGTACATGTATACAATTTAGGAGTACATTCTATGCGCTTATTGCAAATCCTACCCTTGACTCCCCCTTTAGTGCCTGTCTAACCGTCTCGCTGCGTCCGCTAAACCTGATGAGGTAATTTTTTAAAGGGAAAAGTTTATATAGAGCCGAGCCTCTGAACAATCAAATTAGAACCTATCTCAAAAGTTTCACTAGAAGAGGTTGTTTTGAAGTTCAAATATCTTCAAATTGATCATCTCGACATTAAGATGCATGGACATGATAAAAAATGGATTTTAACTTTTAGATATAGTATATTTTGTAGTGTATTTTAGGACCGTTAATTTTTAATATTTTCAAGTTTTCATATATCTATCTATCTACACTCTTTTTTTTGAAGCTTTAAACTTTATAAATAAATATTAAAACATATTTTAAGGCTATCACAAAGATTTCCTGCATTGAAACCATATTTTTAGATACTATTTGAAGGTAGGCTCTAATTTGATTGTTTGTAGCCTAAGCTCTATACAAACCACACCCTTCTTAAAATGTCATGATGAAAAAGGGCAAATAATTAAAGAAATGGTTTATATAAAGTTGCATCTTACATATGAAAGTAAAGTTCCAGTGATTTACATTATTTATGTCATTTGAATGGTGTATATTCCTGCTATCCTAAAGATGTATTCTTTTATGGCGTTATTTTAAAAGATACGTTAAATTTACAACCTCCAACTAAAATAGACGGTATACTATATTATAATCCTATCTTCTACCCAATAATATTATAACCTAATACAAATCATATCCAATAATTAATGATCCTTCGAATTGTATTAAGAATATGTCCTCACTGATTTTTATTATTCATAAGAAAGATTATTTAGGCCAAATGAAAACGCTCATTAAAAAATATGCCTTCACCTAACCGTGACCACGGCCCCATTTCACTAAAAAAATACCTTCTAAAATTGGAGGTTCTCTCGACGCCCCTTCAATCACCAACTAGTAAGAATGGGGACCAAGAATGAATGAAAAAATATAAGAAAAATTATAGAAAAAAAAGCACACTATCAGATTTGGACCTGGCCTAACCGGTACAAAAATAAATAAAGAAAATAATATAAGAAAATAGAATAATAATAAAAACATTGGCCCGGTACCCCTAGCCCGGGCCCCGGGCAAAAGTTTGTTGCCCATGCCCTATTTTCAGAGCCGAGCTGCGTGGCCCTACCTCGAAGATTGAAAATAGCAGGAAATCCATTTATGTCATATAAAGTTGCAATCTAAAGTTTGCATCCCATGCCCTATTTATGTCGTTTAATGTTGAAAAACCGACTATCTCGACATCGAGACGCATTATTATAAAAAATAAAAGGATTTTCAGTTGCATTTTACAACATATTACCTATACCATCAATTTTCAAGATTTTTATATGTTTATGGATCTACTTTATTTTAACCATTTTTTAAATTTAAAATTTTATAATTAGATATAAAAATAGATTTTGAGATAATCTTAAGAACATTTTACATCAAAATTATATACCATGATAAAATTTGAAGCTGTACCTTACCTCTATCGCTACATATACATTTGTATGCCAACTGCACCCTTTTCTAAGGAAAAAGTTTATATAAGAATGCAATTTTATAATGTAGAACTATGGATGCACTTCAAAAATCCAAAGGAAAATGTGGTTTTAATATTGAAAAATCCTTTGATTGATCACATCGACATCAAGATGTATGACCATGAAAAATAAAAAGATTTTAAGTCTAAAAAATAGTGCATTTTACAACATATCATCTACAACGTCCATTTTCAAAAATTTTATATGTTTATAAACCTACTTGATTTTCACCATTTTTTAAATTTAAAAGTTTAAAATTAAATATAAAAATAAATTTTAAGATAATCCTAAAAACATTTTACATCAAAATCATATCCCATTATAAAATTTGAAGCTGCACGTTACCTCTACGCATCCGTATGCCAACTGCACCCTTACTCTTATCACGCCATTAACTCTTCTCAACACACTCCCAAACCTTATCCCATCTGTTCTATATATCGAATGCATCTGACTCCGTTGAAAATTCAAAATTCACCCGACTTCCTAATTCATCACTAGTGGCGTAGCATTAATGCATCGGTTTACATCATAATTTCAAAAACAAAACAAAAAACAAGGAAGAAAAAAGAAATTCCCCATGTAATGTAACAGCATGAGAAACAAAACCAGTAGCCCCAGCACCCCAAAATGTGAAAGACCCTTCGCCATTGATTTACAGTACTACAGCTACACATACGCACGAATTTCAGTAAGGATGAAAACAAGTCCGAATTCAGTCTCCTTCACCGAGCAGTGACGCCGGAATTTACAGAGATTGAATCATGGGAAGCCGAGGACAAGTCGAAGCAGAGCTCATCAGCCTTACTCAAAATGTAAACAACATCGGCGAGGGAGGGCCTCTTGGATGGGTCCTTGCTCACACAGGCCCTCGCCACCACGGCCACATTCATCACGCTCTCGACAGAGCACGAATCATCGAATAACCTCCCATCCATCCACCCCCTCAACCTCTCCTCCTTATTTTCACAAGCCAATACATTTTCGACCTCAACCCACAACAGCTCTCTTCCCCCTTCTCGAGCCGCCTCTTTGCCAGAGACAAGCTCAAGGAGCACCACACCATATGCGAAAACGTCAAGCTTTGGGGTCACAAGCCCATCACCCAGATACTCTGGTGCCATGTAGCCTTGAGTCCCGACAATGTGCCTTGTGATTGCATTGAACCCGGATTTCGCGAGTCCAAAATTTGCAATCTTGGCACGCAGGGCCTTGTCGAGGAGTATGTTGCTACTCTTGATGTCCTTGTGCACCACCACCGGGCTAGTGTGCTCGTGCATATACTGTAGGCCATTGGCCACATCCATGGCAATTTGCAACCGAGATTTCCAATTCAAATGCTTGCCTGGTTCAGGGTTGTGAAGCCAATGGTGGAGGGAGCCATTCTCAACGTATTCATAGACCAAGTAGCAGTCGCCTTCCTCCACGTTGATGCAAAAGCCCTCGAGCCTCACCAGACTGTGGTGGTTCACTTTTTGGAGGATTTTGAGCTCTTCAGAGACATCCCACCTCATCTTCTTCACGGCATAGGCCTTGCATTCAATGGTGGCCTTATACACAGAGCCTTGGATTAGGGTTTTTGGATCGAAGTCCTCTGTCGCTTCCTTGAGCTCTTCTATGGAGTAGACTTTGTACTTGTCCAAGCATTCGGAGACATCAGCCAAGAAATCCTTCTCTGTAAGATGAGCTCCTCCTCCCTTTTGGAGTTGATGTGGGGCCAATTCGTAATCATCGCGATCAGTTCTTCTTGAGCTTTTCCTAAAGGCAAAGATGAGAACCAGAGCCAGAACAGTAGTCAATACCCCCAAAACCCCAACTGCTATAGACAATCCAGTCACAGTTCCATGTTCGTCCTTATGAGAAACGACTGAAACAATTGGTGGTGGTGGTGGTGGTGGTGGAGAGCTAACATTCGATGGTGTGGGCTGAACAAGCTGGGGTAATTGAGAAACAGGGACCAAAACAGTCGAGAAAGGGTCCGGATTAACGAGATTTGCTGTGGGGTTAGCAGAGATTAACGCACTCCTGTTCGCTTTAAAAAACCGGCTAATCGACTCATAGGTATTGCCAGGTTGAACAACATAGGTTATGAGGAAATTATCTCCTCTCTGCAACTGGTTTTTGTTAGGGCAAAGGCACCTAATTGGGAAAACTACTTCAACCCCAATGGTCAGGTTAGTAGGTACAAGGCTAGGGTTCGCCACAATAACAGCCTGAAAGGTTGTGAGGTTAAGGAATTGCAATGTGGAAACAAGGTAGTATGTATTCCCTTTCTGAATCTGATATGTGATATTGGCTTGTGAGTAATTTTTCATACAAGCACAATAGATTGGGATAAAGAGGGTCTGGTTTTGGACAAGAGGAGATGTGAGAGAAGAGATGTTGCTTGCTTGAGCTATTCTCAGCCTGCTCACTCCAAACAGGTCACTAATTGCAGTGAGGTTCATAAGGTCTGGGTTTTGGGCTCTGTAAAACACATAGGTTTCACAGGGTGTGGTGTATGAGCAGTTGTAGCCATTGACTGTGGTGTCTGTGCCTGCAAGGGGTTGGCTTTGAGATGGGTTTAGGAGAAAAAAGAGAGGGAGAAGAAACAACAGCAAAGAACCCATTTTTCCAATTGGGTTTCTAGAGATAAGGAACTGAGTCCTTTGGGTGCTGCAACACTGGGGGATTCAGCTGAGAAATTAAAGGTGGGGCTGCTGAAATTAATGGTGCGGTCCTTCCATTTGTATGTATTTATGGTGATAGTGGGCGACTGTGGTCAATGAGATTTTTTCCATGCCCTGAGTGGGTTTTTTCTGCCTTGGTGGTGGAAAATAGCCCTTTTTCCCAACATATTAATTACCCTGGTAATCTTTTAAAACTCCAATAAAAGGAGAGCAAATTTCCAATTTCACACGCATGTGATCTATTTCAAGGTGTGGCAGATGACTGAGATGTCCATCCCATATGATCAATACGTCAGCCAAAGACTTTTTTACGAAAAAGTTGGACCCGGTAAGGTATGGAATTATCGAGGAAAGAATAAAAGCAGCCCGGCTCATTGGTTAGCCACTAACTCAAAATTGAGAGACACTTACCCTATATCTACCGTTTTAAAAAAACGAGAAATTTACCCATATCTCATTAAAACATCTTTATTATTAAAAGAACAGATTTATATGAGGTTGACGCCCTAAGCAATCAAACTAAAACGCACCTCAAAAATTCACTAGAAGAAGTTGTTTTTATGCTAAAAAATCTTCAAATGCGAACATCTCGATCTTGAGATTCATGGATGTAAAAAAAAAAAGATTTTAAGTCTTGAAAATAGTGCATCTTGTGATGCATTATCTAGACCGTCAATTTTTAAAATTTTCAAATATTTATTGATCTGTTTAATCCGCACTATTTTTTAAGTCATCATAAAAAATTTTGGTGTTGAAACGACATCTTTTGATACTATTTGAAGGTGCACTTTATTTTGATTGTTTAGGACCTCGGCCTTATACAAATCACACCTTTATAAAAATCCCTTTGAATGTATGGATACTATATTATTAAGTCAAATTTAAGGGTTGGACTCGTGTAGAATGAATAGAGACCCTATCTGTAGAGTGATCTTAAGGCACCTAAATTGTAGGACACATGACTTTCAAAACTTACGGTGCCTATGCCTATCTTTAAAGAAAAACGGTGCCTATACCTATCTTTAAAGAAAAGAAGAGTTATGCACCACATGACCTTTCTCTTCCCCCTCATTGTAAATTTTATCCATCAAAACTTTTTAATCTTCTACCATGTCTGAACAAGGCGATACTAGTTTTATAATGGAAAGCGGGGTTCTTTGCTAACAAGGGCACTTTGGTTGTCGCACTGAAGGGATATCTCTTCTTGTACAACTTAAAATTTTCCTAACCTAATTTGCCAAGATACTTCTTTTGATGTATGAATAGTGTATATTCAAGCTCTAGAGTAGATGAAACTATCACAAAATTGCAACTCAATAACAAGCTAAATGCATTACCTTATGAGGAAAAAAAAACAAAACAAATAAACCTAATAGTAAAACTCTTTTTATCCACGTCACCTGGAACATATCAAACAACTTTGATAGCTATTTCCTACTAACAAATACCAACATCACATATTCCTTTCAAATAATGAGAAAAACATTTCACTATAATTTAATAACAATCATGTTAGGAATAGAATTTAAGATGTCATGTTTTAGGACCTCATCACCCAATATTTTTTTTTTTTGTGATTGTTCATTAGAATGTAAAGATTGTACATTTCAAAATTTTGATAAAAAAAATGGCCACAAGATGGCTTTTCAAGGTTGTTGCATCATATTATTATACAACGGTTGCATGAAATCATTTCTAGTTTCTTTTTTCTAAACAATATTGCCACTCCACAACAGTCCTTCACCAATATTGCTTACATCTTCAATTTCCAATTCAGGAAGTTTGATCTATTAACATTTAAGAATTCATACTTGAGAGAAATAACTCCAATTACTTTAAAACTCTGCGACCCACCACCACAAACCTCTTATAATAAGGATCTCAAACTTTAGAGCTCCGATACCAGCTGTAGATGATAAAAACTAGGTTTGGGTAAGATTAAAGGGAACAAAGCTAGAAAAATACAAGAGGAGAAACAATTATTAAAGTGGTTCGGCAAATGCCTGCATCTAAGCGGTATAGTAACTTTCTCTTCACTAATTAACAGAAAGGGTTGTATATTATGCGACAATTTATCATCACTACAAGGAAGTTACAGTCACTCCTAGGCAATAGATGTCAAATTAGATGGTCTGAAGTATGTTATAGAGTTTAAAAAATTTATTTTGAATATTTAATCTAGTCAATGACACACTTACAATCACTTGATTTAAAATCTGTTGAATAGGAGTAATCATTGTACGGAAAGTAAATAGTCTCTTTGTATACTTTTTCTTATAAAGAACACAAAGCAAGCAAAAAGATTACAAATATTTTACAAGCTCCCACAAGCACAAAAATAAAATTTTCATTTTTCTAGAAAACTCGTCCCTTAGTTTTCTCCCCAAGTTTTCATCTCCAAAGTGATTGCCCTTATATGGACAAACCTATAACCCAATTACATGAGGCACATCCAAATATATTCATTTTAAAAGATATATTCCATTTGAACCGATAGGTACCCATAATTTCCAAGATCATAGGTATTATAAAAATAAGATCTTCATAAACCTTCTAGAAAATTAAGTGATTTCATATATCATTAAAGATATAAGTTCCCTGAAAAAAGAAGCCTAAAGTATTATAAAAATAATATCTACGTAAATCCATTATTCAAGGAAATTATGTTATTGTTTTATCCATTATTTAAAGGAAAAAGTTTATATAAGGATGCAACCTTAAAATATAGAACTACGGATGCCCCTCAAATATCCATCAAAAAAGGTCGTTTTAATGTTGAAAAACCCTTTGATTGATCATCTCGACATCGAGATGTATGACTATGAAAAATAAAAAGAATTTAAGTCTTAGAAATAGTGCATTTTACAACATATTATCAACACCGTCCATTGTCAAGATTTTCATATGTTTATAGATCTACTTGATTTTAACCATATTTGAAATTTAAAATTTTATAATTAGATATAAAAATAGATTTTGAGATAATACTAAGAACATTTTACATCAAAATTATGTGCCATAATAAAATTTGAAGGTGCACCTTACCTCTCTACACGTACAGATGCATCTGTATGCCAACTGCACCCTTATTTAAAAACGTAGATCGGTAGGTCGAACTCGTCTATTGGTCGCAAGCAGAATTAACCGAATCATTGAGTTGGCTCAACCAACTCGTCCAATCTCTCTTTTAAAAAAATAAAAAATAAAAAAGGAAAAATAAAAAAGCATCAATATTTTACCTCATCTAAAATAAGATGTAAATTGAAATCGGAATGAAAAATTAAAATAAAAAACACATTAGGAAAAAAAATAGCATAAAAAGATAAATAAAAAACAATCTTAGGGAATTTTGCTTTTGATTTGAAAGTTTTGTTAGGTCTATTGTAGATCAATATGATAGGAACAATATTGGATAATTTTGAAATAATTTGGTATAACAACAAGAGATAAATTACATAAGTTCGATTTTGGGTTTGAAAAGTCCCGAAATTTGGATTATTAAATTATTTTTGTTTACTTTTCTATCTAACAAGTTTTTATAAGCATATGTTCGAGGGTTCCAAGATGAACAATTTGAAACAAATTGTAGATGATTTGGTTTAGAAATGAGAGAAGCATTGCAAGGAAGGAAAATTGATTTTAGAGGTTAAAAAACTGGTGAAATTTTGAAGAAAAAAGGTCATCAAATGCAACTTTGACTAAAAAAAAAATGCTTTTGGGGTCTAATAGGGACCAGTTTGCATCAAAATCGATCAAAATAAGGGTAAATAAATTGCATCAAAATCGATCAAAATAAGGGTAAATAAATTATGGAGGATGAATTATTGGTTGAAAAACTAGAAAAAAATATTGTTTTTAACTCATAAATTAGAGTAGTAAACAACACGCTTGAGTTTGAGCAAGAACCAGGATCCCAGGTTCTGTACCTAAAAAAACGAGGATAATATTATTAAGCGAAAGGCTTCTATACTTCTCCTACAGCATAGAAGATCTATGCTTCCCCTAGTATCTAGCTGTTCAATTTTGATCAAGAGAGCCACTCACCATTGGATCTTAGATCTGACGTCTCAAAGTATTTTATTTTTAGTTTTTTTATACAAATTGTATGAAAATGAAATTTGGTACGTACCATCTTCTCATTAGGGGGGGCCTATAAAAAATATTAAAAATAATTTTTTGATAAAGTATAATGACCAAAATACCCTTTGATAATTTCAGGGGTATTTTGATCATTTTAATTTATTGAAATATTTTTTTTATATTTTTTGCTTGTACGAGTTTAATAGAAAATTGGACATACAAAATTTGGTGTCAAAATAGTTTATAGAAAAAAATTAAAAATAAAATAATGTAGAGATGTGACATTGTGATTGGAGCAATCTTAGCCCTCCATTTAGAATGGACGGTTGGATAAAGAGAAGTATATAAGTTTTATGTCGTAGATCTTACAAATTTTTTAAAGAACTCAAAAGAGCCAATTTACTTTGCAAGGGTCTACTTCTTAAGTTTCAATTCATAAAAGTATCTCCTTTAGAATTTGCTCAAAATGCGCAAATTATCCATGTTCAGGATTCGGAACCCAGAACTACTAAGACAATTTTGGCAATTTAGCACACTTAAGTGGCAATTTAGCACACTTAATTGTTCAAGGTGGAGAATATAAAACTGTCAAATGACAAAACTACTCCTGATTGTTCAAGGTTAGAAATACATAACCAATGTTAGTTTTATCACTTGATAGTTTTGTGCTCCCAACCCTGAAAACCTAGTGGTATTTTTGTAATTTGGCTCAAACCACTTAAGTGCGTTAAACTACTAAAATACCCTTAGTTGTTAATGGTTCCAAACTTTGAACGGAGGTAATTTGAGAATTTTTGAACAAATATTCAAATGAAACGTATATAAAGATACCATTTACTTTTAATACAAAGAGGTAAAAAATACTTTTGTCCGTCAGATTTTAAATCAGCTGGTTGTAGCACTCTCATTGATTAGACAAAGTTCAAACAAAAAAAAAAAAAAAATCGAAATTTTGTGACATACCTCAAGCCATCCAATTTGATATCTAATAGCTAGAAGTAATTGTGGCCATCATGTAACAAAAATAGATGGTCCCATAGTA